TCTCTCCTTCTCTTAGTTAGCATGGTTAAGGGTTTGTCAATTTTATTTATTCTTTCAAAGAACCAACTTTTTCTTCTGTCAATTTCTTCAATTATGACTTTTGTTTCAATTTCATTGATTTCAGCTCTGAGTTTAATTACTTCCTGTCTTCTACTGCTTTTGATATAGATGTAATGTTAAGTCATTTATTTGTTGACTTTTTCTTCTTTTAAGGAATGAACTCCATGCAATGAACTTCTCTTTTAGAACTGCTTTCATAGTATCCCAGAGATTTTGATATGTTGTATCTCTGTTCTCATTCACCTCTAAAATTTTTTAATCTCCTCCCTGATGTCTTCTGCAGCCCATTGTTCATTTTCCTATGTGTATCCCTAATTAGTATTATATTATTTGATCTCCAGGTGTTGGAGTGGATTTTATTTCTTATTTTATCATTGAATTCTGATTTCATTCCATTATGATCTGATAGAATTCAGGGTATTATCTCTACGTTTTAATATTTGCTAAGAGTTGCTTTGTGGCATAGTATATGGTCTGTTTTAGAGAAGGATCCATGCTGCTGAAAAGAAAGTGTATTCACTTGTTGAAGGATGAAATGTTCTATATGTGTCAATAAAGACTAAGTTATTGATTGTATTATTGAGTTCTATAGTTTCTTTGTTCAGCTTTTGTTTGAAAGATCTATCCAGTGGTGAAAGAGGCATGTTAAAGTCACCCAAAATTATTGTGTTGTGGTCTATTTGACACTTGAACTTGAGAAGAGTTTGTCTGATGAAGTCAGATGCTCCATTGTTTGGGGCATATATATTTATAATTGTTAAGTCTTGTTGGTGTATGGTTCCCTTGAGCAGTATGTAGTGTCCTTGTTTATCCCTTTTGATTAACTTTAGCTTGAAGTCTACTTTATTTGATATGAGGAGGGAAACCCCTGCTTTTTTCCACTGTCCATGTGAGTGGTATGATTTTTCCCAACCCTTCACCTTTGGTCTGTGAATGTCTTTCTCTATGAGATGAATTTCTTGGAGGCAGTATATTGTTGATTTTTTTTAATCCAATGTGCTAATCTCTCTCTCTTTTGATTGGTGAGTTTAGGCCATTAACATTCAGGGTTATTATTGAGACATCCTTTGTATTCCAAAACATTTTTTTTATTTTTGGTATTTAACATGACTTGGTTTCTCCTCTGATTAGATTTTCCTTTAGTGTGATTCCCCCCTCTGCTGATTTTCATCATTGTTTTTCATTTCCTCTTCTTGGAGGGGGATGTTCTGTAGTGCAGGCTTGGTGAGGATGTTCTATAGTGCAGGCTTTCTAGTTGTAAATTCTTTTAACTTTTGTTTATCATGGAAGGTTTTTATTTCATCATCAAATCTAAAGCTAAGTTTTGCTGGATATAAGATTCTTGGTTGGCATCCATTTTCTTTCAGAGATTGGTATATGTTGTTCCATGATCTCCTGGCTTCGAGGTTCTGGGTTGAAAAATCTGAGATATGAATTGGTCTCCCCCTATATGTGATCTGATTCCTCTCTCTTGTGGCTTTTAAGATTCTATTCTTATTCTGTATGCTAGGCATTTTCATTATAATGTGCCGTGGTGTATATCTGTTGTAATTTTGTACATTTGTGGTGTCCTATAAGCCTCTTGTATTTGGTTTTTCCAATTTGTTCTTCATGCTTGGGAAATTTTCTGATATTATCTCATTGAAGAGATTGTGCATTCCTTTGGTCTGAAACTCTGTGCCTTCCTGTATCCCAATGACTCTTAGATTTGGTCTTTTGATGCTGTCACATAATTCTTGGATGTTCTGTTCATGGTTTCTAACTTTCTTCACTGTGTGATTAACTTTATTTTATACTTTGTCTTCGTTATCTGACATTCTTTCATCCAAGTGATCCAGCCTGTTGGTTAATGCTTTCTATTGAAATAGAATTATTTGATTTATTGTATCCTTCATTTCAAGGATTTCTAACTTTTTTAAAGTAATTTTTTGCTAACTATATTTGCTCTCTTATCTCTTTGTTGGAGTGACCAATTTTTGCCTGTGTTTGCTCATTTAAATCATTCTTTAATTTACAGATTATTTTAATTATGAACCTTCTGAACTCCTTCTCCAACATTTCATCCACTTCACTGTCCGTGTATTCTGTTACTATAGTGTTCTGGTTTGTTTGGGCACTTTCCTCCCTTGTTTTTTCATGTTGCCTGTGAGTATTCCTTTCTTGTAGTGTGGATCTGAGATATTACAGTTTCTACTCATATTCTTGTAGTACCCGTGCAGATTGTCTGTACCTTACCTTGATATAGGGCTTCCAGACCCTGCTGGTGTCCCTCAATATATGCTATTGCAACTGAAGGTGGTGGCAGCAATAACTTGAGATAATAGTTAAGGTGCCCCAAGATGAAAGCAATGTCTTACAGAGATGTGGCTGAAAGGGTAGTCCTCACACTCTCTTTGGGATACCTGCTCTGAGATGCAGCTGCTTCTAGGCCCTGTCTGCTGTCAAAAAGGTAGTGGCTACTGCTGTCCCATCGGAACAAACAGTTTTGCTTTCTCATAGGGGAAGGCTAAGGAGATGACTGCAGTGTTCCAAGATGGAAGTGAGTTAAGCTTAGGCTCCCAGGTGGGGTAAGGGTGGCGAACTCATACCTACCCTGGACCTGGGTTTGGTACAAGTCGGTATGGACGGATATGGCCTGGTCTGACCTGCAGCAGTAGTCTGCTGATCAGAAGGGGTGGTCCTGTGCTAGAAGGCTGGGCTCCGGAGGGTATCTGCTGATGGAAGGGAAGAACCCGGTCCTACTGTTACAAATCTCTCAATTTCTAACTTAGTGCATTTCCTCTCCTTATTTTCTTTGCAAATGAACAACCAGAATATGAAGTGTTCTTTTAAAACCCACAGGCATTAAAATTATTATGTTTTAAGTACATTTTGATAATTATTAATTTTCTAGAAGGACCCAAAGTAGCGTGTTCAGTACTTCAGCTAATAGAAACAAGGAAAATTTCCAAGACTTTCCTATATGATAGGTGCTTACCTCACAAAACACACCCCTTTCTCACTGCTGTATACTTCTGTAATGGATCATACAGGTGTCTACATTTCCTTGCTTTGAGAGGGGTTAGAGAACGCTAGAGAACTAGTGAACACAGAGAGAGAACTAACAGTCTGCCCTTCCGACCACAGCAGATCTCATCCATACACCAATACTCTTCTAAGTTTTCCAGTTCATACAGGAAACTGAATATTTTTATAATATTATTTATGACCATGGAATTTTATTCCAAAAAAAAAAAAAATTCTTGTGGCCCCAACATTGCTCCCAGGAGTGAGTACATGTCTGCAACTTGGGATTTCCCAAACATCCCCTTGCTATTCAGAGCAAGAGGCATACTTAAACAAAGTCACATTTACTAAGTCTGAGCTTCTTCACTATATCAGCATGGGTATTAAAGGAAGAGTGGTGAAGTCTCCATTTTCCAGCCCTATTAATCCCTTTTTGTCCTGTTTGTGTTTTGTTGTTGTTTGTTTGTTTGTTTTTCTGCATAGAATGTCCACCTCTCCAGGCCCCTAAAATGTAAACTCCATGAGGACCAAGACTGTTAGTTTTGTTCACTGCTTTATCTCTAGAACCAGACCTGTCACAAATTTGATGTCTGCTAGGTATTAGTTGAAAGAATGGCTGAACTATGGATTTATTTAGAAAGTTTATCATTTCCCATTTCTCCTGACTTTGATGCCAAAGGGAAAAAGTGGCATATTTGGGGTCAGAACACCAGGTATGTGTCTGGTATTTCAAATCAAGATTTGTTTATTTGTTTACATATTATTTATTTTTATTGTCTTTTTTATTATCTGTTAGCCTCAGGACTGAGAGCCTCCCTAATGCCCAAAAATGAACATTTTAGACCACAGAGCAAATATATTAAGCTTATAATAAAATTGAATACTAATCCTGTAAGGAGTGAAAAAAGAAGAAGAAAAGAAAAAGAAAAAGAAATTCGATCATCTCTAAAATTGCCATGGGATCAGAGCACTGAGGATTGATATGCAAAAGTGGGTCTGCTTCAGGCTGCCCTCTCCACATCTATAGTTGAAGCTTTCATAGGTGCAGAGGGGTTTGGGCTACTACTATATCCTAACACATAGGAGGGAGTCTCTACTTACCAAATTAGAACTGCCACATTATTATTAGAGTTGGCATCTCTTTAAGGGGTTTACTGGCTGAATCTTTTGGAAGAATGCAACTATATAAATGACTTTTTAATCCAAAATCTGTACAAAGAAAAGTATCATTGCAGTGGATACTGTGATTGCTACTCTGTATCCCCTGGGTCCACTTAATGTCAGCCCAACCATCTGTGGTGGACAGTGGTTACCATGCATGTTGGTGGGCACATTCAAGTGCCTGTTTAGGCAAGGATCCTCATCCCATATATAGGGACACCCTAGGAACACATGGGAGTTAACATCTCCAGGGAAACCCTCAACCAGTGGGTGCTGTGGGGTGGTAGACAAATGTCTACCTTCCCATCATTATGCAGGACAATGGTAAGGTACATTTCTAGAGGCCTTGCTGGGTTGGACCCAAATGGCCACTGCAATGATGAGGTCAGTCACTGATACACCTTTTATTAGCTCTTCCTTCTGTTTCTGCTTTCTCTGCTCTCTTACTGTAGGTGCCTCCCAAATGAACCATCTGTACCCAAATCCTTCTCTCTACCTCTGGTTTCTCACGCAGGTCTCCAGGAATAATACCTGAAATGAAAGAAAAACTATTTGTTCCTAGAATCTAGGGCTGACATTGGCAAACAATGTGTTCTGAGATGATGACCCAGGAAAATAGATTTTCTGGAAGATGCTGGTATCACCTCCTAGATGCAGAATAGGCTGGCTTTATCCCAGTAGTTTTTTTCTTTTATACACTTTAAGTATGTGTGTCATTGGGATCACACATGATTCTCCTGATTTCATGCCTGCCTTTTCTTTTTATTCTACAGATTCTTCTGGGAAGCCTAAATTCACCAAGTGCCGTTCACCTGAACTAGAGACATTTTCATGCTACTGGACAGATGGGGGTCATCATGGCTTAAAGACCCCAGGATCCATACAGCTGTTCTATATTAGAAGGTGCAGCCTCCATGCCATTCTGATCTTTCTCTCTATAGATTTGCCAGTTAGAGTGTGTACTGCGTCACATGCAGTGTAGGAATGGCAGTCATTTATTTTGATGACCAAGATATATTTGTTCATTCATTTATTTAAAAAAAATATTAATTAAGCCCTTACTATGTGCTAGGGATTATTTTAGGTACTGGGGGTATAACAGTGATTACAAAAAGATTAAATTCTTATTCTCCTGGAGATTCTTATCAGTATGGGAAAACAGACAATAAAAAATTAAATAAAATAACAGCTTATAACACAAGTTATCAAGAAGATTAAGGCCAGAAAGAGGATGAAGAGTGTCAGCATGTGAGTGTGTGCATAGGGTCCTTGAGTGACATTTGAAACAGGGAGGTCATAGGATACCTCTCTAATATGGTGTGTGAGAGCAGAGACAATAAAATGAGACAGACCGCGTGAATATCAAGGGAAAGGGCTGCCTAGGAAGAGGAAATTGCAAGTGCAAAGGCCCTGGGGGCAGTGTTGCCCTGATTGAGGAAAGCCAAAGGCCAGCACAGATGCCACAAGACTAAAGATGGGGTGAGTGATAAGGGAAGGGCACAGGACTTGCTAAGCTTGGTAGGCTAGGGCAGGGCTTTGAATCTTACTGTATTGTTCCAGAAAGCCACAGGTGTGTTTTGCAAAGTGTATGTTTTCATAGACTCAGCTTGTTTTCTATGTAGAAAATGGACTATGTTCCTCTTAAATAGTTCTTTTTCTCTTGCATTTTAACCAATGGTCCTATAAAATAACAGGGAAAGAGGGAAACAAAGATCTTGAAATACTGTCACCACCACCCAAGTAGTTTATTTCTAACTCCTCACTTGGAATAACTTCCTTTTCTATTTACTCTTACATTACTCCCTTTTTAAAAAATTGACACATGGTAACTGTACATTTTTACAGCGCACAGTGTGATTTTCGATACATACATACAATATGCAGCAATCAGATCAGGGTAATTGGCAAATTCATCACTTCAGACATACACCATCTCTTTGTGCCGAGACCATTCTAAACCCTCTTCTAGCTATTTTTAAATAGCCAATTAATTGTTGTCAATCATAGTCACCCTACTGTGCTATATAGAACAATACCATACCCTTTCTACCTTTCTAAATTTTAGGCTTACACACTGCATTATCTCCTCTTTACCACTCAGGTCCCTTAGGGAAGGCCTAAGCCAAGATGCCAGGTTAGTGGGGACCCTTCAGATTAAGCTCTTGTTCATCAGTCCAAAGATGTTGCTGTTTACAGAGGACCTGGAAAGGAAGATGCAGTAAGCAGCTGGGGACATGACCTCAGGGCCAAAGACCCTGAATTCCAGCCTGCCCTCCACACTTGCTACCAGTAATGCTCAGCAAAGGATCTAGTCTGTGCACTTCTCAGCCTCCTCACTTGTAGAGTGGAGATGACAGACTTGCCTCCTGAGGATTTTATTATATAACGTGTGAAAAAACACATTGCTTCCCACATAATAAGTACCCAGTAAATGGTAGCCACTTTTCTTATGGTGGTATAACAATAATTTAAGATAATGATGTAGAATCCCAACACTTCTGGGCTATAAAAAATGATTTTGGTTTTTTACCGTTTGTGATTATTGGTATGTACGACCATTTTTAATGCAGAGCTGTGTTTAACATGCAAATAACAAATACTCCAAATTAGCAACTAAGACCAGCCTTACCAACTTTCTAGGTGTGAGAGGTCTCTCAGAAGCACCAGAAGGGCACACGAAGATGAGATAGTTGGGCACCAGATACACATACTTATTTGCCTTAAGGATGATACTGCAAGAGAGATATAAGCCAATGAACAAAACTGAAGTAGATAAATATATTCAGACAGGAAGCTAAAGTGTTTGGCAACATTTTTCAATATACATGAGTTGATTATGCTGTTTATAAAGTCAGACAGAGAGACAGTAGGTTTAATCATCATGTTTTACTATAGCAACTCAGAGAGCCAGCTTCATCAAAACAGAATAAGTTTTTCATGCAGTCACCATTAATCAAACTAAACAGAAACAGCAGAATAACCTCTGAACGTGGACCCACTTCATGAAAATATTTTTTCACCTCCTTAAAATTCACCTAATTTTGACATGAGAAGAAAGATAAATCCACAGATATGAAGCCTTCACAAATACATATCTGTTTTTTACCATCATCAATTAAGGCCACATAACTCTGTCCACAGGGATGTGAAGAGTCACATCCCAGTCTCTCAGCATCCCCAGCCCAAACCCAGGCTTTGCACTAACAAGGATTCTGTGACCAGGTAAAAGGAAAATCTGAGATATATTCAGAAAGATCTCTTAGCTTTTTACCCTAGAAGAACTTGGAGTTTCAGGAGAAAACAAAATCATATTCTTTTAAAAATATTTTATTAGTTGTTGGTGGATCTTTATTTTTATGAAACTCTGAGAATCGAACCCAGTGCCTCACACATGCCAGGCAAGCACTCTACCACTGAGCCATAACCCCAGCCCAACAGCATCATATCCTTAAACTGTGTGAGTACAAACTCAAGATTATGTAAATGCCAACCCTAAAGTTGCAAAATCAGTATTTGAGGCTTTCTCTACAAAAATGTAACTATTTTGAGTATCTTGGTCAAACTAGCATAAGACCACAAGTCCCACTTATTTGAGAAGCATAGAATCAAGGGATTAGGAAACTGGGACTACATGTCATTGATTAGGGCAGAAATGTTTCAGACTCTCATTACCCATTTGCACAAAGAGGACAATGCAAGTGAGCTTCTGGCTCTTGTCATTATTTCTTAGAGTTTAGTTCCCAGGTAACTCCTGAAATTATAGAAATATGCTTCCATCACTGATACACAAATAAATCTGTGACATGATTTTATCCAACACTGGAGTCTGTGAAGGCAGAAGGGAGCCAGGAAGGAAGTGGCTCATAGGCCTTCAGTTCACTGGCCTGGCCTTGGTCTCCAAAGCATAATGAACCCTAACACATCAGGCTGTCAACAGGACAGGGGAAGGAACAGGCCCACAGGCACTCATGTGCTTTGCTCACGGGCTGCTCCTTGCCAGGTGAGCTGGCAGACCAGACAGCATCTGCATGGTGGGGCAGCTAATCATGAACAGTTTCTGCCACCCTGTGGTGGACATGGTGCCAGGTCCAGCCTCTGAGTTTAAAGGGGACTTAGTGTGAATGTTGTTGGCCTGGAAAGGCTGGTGGAGCTCCTCTGCTCTCAGCTTCTCACATGGAAATGCTCTGTTCTCAGTGGAGGTGAACATGTGAACACTTGGTCCTTAAGAGTGTACCCCCCCACACACACCTACACACCCTCCACAATAGCCTGCTGCAAAAATTATCCTGGCCCTTTAAAAGTAATTTCATTTTCCATGCAAGATTGAGAAGGAAATTAGAAGAAGAAAGGGAATTGTTATTTTTACCCCCCTAAGGCTTAAATTTTAAGTTCTTTCCCCACCAAAAAAAAAAAAAAGCATGAGCTGTATGTAATGAAAACAGTTGCCTTTACAACATAACACGTTTTATCTTTACAGTTTCTTCTCTAATTGGTTACCTTTAGATGGAAAATGTTTCTTCTGCTCTTTATTCCCATTTTTACTGATAATCTCCTTCTATGGTTTTTGCTGTTTTCACAAGATAGTTTAGAAACAAACCAAAGAAATTAACTTTCAGGTCTAAGAGAAGGAGAGAATAACTTCTACAAATTGGCTCTGGTCATTCTACATCTGATCTGTGTGTAGACATTCAATCCAGTGAAGTCAGGTGACTGAGGATCTGTTTCATGAGTCCATTTGATTTTTTGTGTCTAGATTTAATATTTTAGGAAATGAATTTATTCAATTTTGGTCAATGAAGAAGGAGATTGGGCATTGTGGTTTGAAATACCTATTCCTGATCCATCATGCAATGAGTGATTTTCCAGAGAACCTACTAGATTTGGGATGACCCAAACAGGGTTTTTCACATAGTCTTTCTGGGCATCAGGTGCTAACATTGCCAAAGCAGAAATACTGTGCCAAGCTTTTTATTCCAAATCCAGACCTGCATCTTTGGAACATCTTAATATTTTGAGTTTTCTGACTTATCCTCTCAACTATGCTGAATGTATTTGATATCTCCTCTCTTTTCATACGAAAGCCTCATTCCCTGGACAATCGAGAATTGTTTAATGTACTCAAACTCAGTTTGAAAGTTGAGATCAAGTCAGCAAACTATAATTCAACAACTCACCTATTTCTCTAATATTTTGAACTTTTTCTATTATTCTAAATATACACAAACTTTATCCTTTCCTTTGCTTTTACCCACTTTTTCCTTGAGGGATAAATCTCCCTCTCATCCAAGGAAATACAACTTTTAAGAATCTCAACCACAATTTAAGCAACAGTTCACTGTCTCAGACTCTGAAGTCTCTACTGTTTTAATCCCAAGTTTCATTCTGACAGCCGATGAGCAGTTGTCTCAAGGACTCTGACACTATAGAAGCTTCCGTCTAGTGCCAAAGGAAACCTGTGTCTTCTCTCAGCTTCTTATCCTGTCTTCCCAGACCCTACCTTACCCATGGTGCTGTCGTTGCCCACTGCTGCCCAGCACCATCCTATAGTGGGGTGGTCCCAAATCTCCAGTCTGGCCTGCCAGTCACAGGCACCTCTGCCCACAGAAAGCCATCCCTACCTTCTTCCTCAACAAAGGATTGCATGGCTTCATGACCCCTTTCCTTATAAATCCTCTTCTCAACTGATATAAGTAGTAACTGATAAAGGGATAATGAATTACCCCACCCACGTAAGCAATTCTAACATAATAAAAATCTTTCCTGCCATTCCACTTCCTCTCGCTCCCCTCGTCTCACCAGTAACACCTTTGACCATTCTATTCTCTCCTTTTCCTGTTGCCATCTACTAAACTTTTACCCATCTTTCAGCGATGGAAAAAATATCACCTTCCATGAACAATTAGAGTAATCATTTCCTTTTCTGAAGTCTTAAGGACTCAAATGAAAAATACCTATCAGCACTTATCCACACACCTTTGTAATAGTTTCTTTTTTTCTCCTGAGACAGGAGTAATTCTTTAGAAATCCATGAATCTCCCATAGTGTCCAGCATAGTGTTTCATATGTAACCAATTCTCATTGAATATCAATGAAATGAATGCTAAAAAGTATTTAGATGGTAATTGCTGAGGCATCTTCTAGCCTGAAGGTAGGGACCAAGTCTTATTTATTGTTGCATCACACAGTATGGATATAACATATCACTCACTATGAAGCGCGCCATCAGCATGTCAGCTCAGCTTCTCCATCAAGTCCAAAGATTTACAGTTTTCTGGGAATGCATACAGTTTGAGATTGACTCTCTGAACTGATTTAATAAAGGGACGTTTTTAGAACCTCCCTAAGCCAGACCTTCTGTAGAACAGAAATAATGAAGTATCTACCATAGGAATCTCTTAATAGGAGCTGGCACTACAGGCAGCAGCACCAAATGGCCTCCTAACAGTCTTCGTAAACTGATACTATTGTCCACAGATGTGATACTTCTGGAAATGGTGTTGCTGAAATACAAAGTATTTGTGTCATAAAATATTTGTGTGCCCAGTTTATTGAATGTGTCAAGCCCCTTATCCTGATCTAAGCTGGAAATGATTTTGGAAAAGCTTCATCCTTTTTACCCTCCATTTCAGGAGCACTCAAGAATGGACCCAAGAATGGAAGGAATGTCCCGATTATGTCTCTGCTGGAGAAAACAGCTGTCACTTTAACTCGTCATATACCTCCATTTGGATACCCTACTGTATCAAGCTAACTGACAACGGTGGTACGGTGGATCAGAAGTGCTTCTCAGTTGAGGAAATAGGTAAATCACAGGTTTGTGTTTCACTTGACATAGATTTAGACCAAATAAGTGGGAAGTCCACAGTTTCCAATTAGAGTCAAGTAGAAAGACATTAAAGCCTTGTTCCTTAGGAACATGGAGTCTATTTCACAGGAGAAGGGATCGATTGATAAATAAGAGACGAGGGGAAGGGCAAGTTAAGTCAATTCTGGCATAAAGAAGCCTGCCAGTAAATCTCTTAAAGAAAAGAACAGGAGTCTTTCTTTCAGGAATTTTTATTTTGTTATATTTTATTTTTATTTTGTTAATATTTATTTACTCATATATGGTACTGAGGATTGAACCCAGGGGCTCTCTACCAGTGAGCTTCATTCCTAGCCTGTTTTTTTTTTTGTTGTTGTTGTTGTTTTGTTTGCTTGTTTTTAATTTTGAAACAGAATCTCACTAAATTGCCAAGGATGGCCTCAATCTTGCCTCCTGAGTCCCTGGGATTACCTTGTGCCCTCTTACACCTGAATGATTTCAGAAGTCTTTAAATCTGGGTAGCATTTTTGTATGCCGCTCTGAGAGGCAAATTCAATGTACTCTTAAATCCTGTCATAATTTAATATTATTATTATTATGTTCAAACTTATGGAAACATGTTGACCTTTGACCTCTATCATTGCTATAATAAAGCCTAGATATTTCTTTATACAAAGAGTAATAATTCTGGAATTTTATATTTACAAAACAATCACAAATCAATTTAAAGACATGTTTATAAGATCTCAATACAAACATTTAGGATAATCAGCTCAATGGACTAAGGGAAAGATCCAAACAAATGATCTCTTGCCCATCTTGTGGACATTAGGAGAAACAAAACAAATCAAACAACCACAATTGGAATCTCCATGTTTATACTAGAGGAGGACAAACAGCAAAGTGGAAAGAAGCAAAGAAAGACTGTGTTGCTGACCTAGTACCTCAAAACCTACCCACAAAATCTTGTTTGTTACTTACAAGAATTCCTGGTCACTTCTCCAAGATATGTTGCTCTAATATGTGGTTTCCTAGGCATCAGCAAACTGTAAGAGACTGGAGAAATGTGTTCAGATGCGCACACTTAATATTTAATAGATGCAATGGTAATATTTCGTAACCTGACTTTGAGAAGTTTGAGAAAATCATGAACAAGCAGAAAAGATAACCCAGTGGCATAGTCTGGAGAAACTATTTAGTATATGTCCTAACATCAAGTTATTGAGTTGAAGGCAAATTGGGTAGTAAGAGAGGGTAGTTGTAAGAATACTGGGTTAGCTAAGACCACATTCCACTCCTGACCCTGCCAAATCACTTACCTGCCGATGCTCACTTCCAGTGAGTGCCTGCTGGGTCGCCACTGAGGTGGGTGTTGTGCCCATACTTGAGTGAGGGAGCCAAGTATGTTCACAAATAATTACAGCACAGTGTGGCAGGTGTTGGATTTCAGGTGTGTGGAATGCAGAACAACCAAGATGATGGCCAAAAGCATGAATGATTAGGCCTGAGGGATGAGAAAGGGTAGCAACAGAGATGGTCACATTTATCTCTTAAAGTGTGCATGAGAGTTGCCGCATATCACAATGACTGGGTCTTTGAACAACAAGTAAATTCTAAAAATGGCAAAGAGCACAGAATATTCAAGGAATCAGGAACAGTTGGGCAGGCCTATTAGTCAGCTAAGTGGTCTTGTGTTCCTTACAAAGAAATTTGGGTTTTATCTTACTCCAAGAGGTATGTTTGCAGAACTTAAGCAGGAAAATGATCTTAGGATATTAATAATTAATACAAAAGACTCACAATGTATCAGCCATAATAATTGTAGGAGATAAGTATTGTTATAATTCCCGTTTTACAGATGATACAGCTGAGGCTCAGAGGAGCAAAGTGACTAGTTTAAGGTCAAATAGCTCATAGGTAGATCTGGCATTTGAAACTGGAGAGCAAAGTTCCAGAGTCCATGCGCTTAATCTTGAGGTTATCTAGTATAACCTAAAATGTTTATTAAAATCTTAGAGGAAATAACCTTTCTTTGTGTGGATGGTAGATCAGAGTAGGATAGACTAGAAGTGGAGACGTTAGACTATGACATCAAGGCAAAAGACAATGGCAAAGTTACAGTAGTACAAAAGTAACAGAGAGGAGCTGAGAGTGCTGGAGAAAGCAAAGAACCCCCAGAAACCTTAGTGCATCGTGAGAGAGACGTCAATCAAACAAGCTGCAGTCGCTTCGATGTTATACATATGCATTCTACTATTCCACAGGACTGGTCCTTAGATTTAAAAGATATTTATATATCTCAGAGGAGTTCTCAAGTATAGTGAATAGGTGTGTGTATAGAGGTAAGGGGGAGTTTATTACTATACTTGGGAGAGTGATACTGAGCCTTTTCCAAAAGGACACTGTCCCATATTCTCTATTTACAGTAGAAATGGAAATTTCTAAGATGCATCATGAGTAATAAGTTTTAGAAAATGTTCAGCAAAAACATTTTTATATGTTGGTCATGGAAAGGATTAAGCTTTGGTTATAGGGATTCCTCAACCAATCTGGAAAGGTGAGGCCATTATATGGCCATATATAGTTTGAACATCTTCAGATTTTATTTGCAAAATAGTCATGTGTATCTGACTACTGTTTAAAAATAGGAAAAGATTTTCTCCATTAAAAAAAAAAAGTGCTGTCTGTTCCACCATGGTCAACAAGATGCTCTTATGCTGTAAATTCTGTTTCTAGTCTGAATCAGTACAAGAACTTCCCATTTTGGGCCCCAGATTTGTAACCCATAAGAGCTCTTTATAGCCCATAACCTGTAGCCCATAACATCTACATATGTTAGAATGTAAATTTTACTCAGTATCTGCAACATATTTCAAAAGTCTCAATAATCTTAGCAATGATCTACTTGGGATTATTTAGAATATAAATTTAGATATAGCTCCTAGCTTTTGAATCTATCATTTTCTTCATCAACCTTTGGGAAACTGTGGTCTTTGTGGTCCTAAAAATAAGAATGCAACAGATTTATCTAAGAATGTAGAGTTGATCCTTATAAAGGGAGCACAGTACTATTTCAGATTGTTCACATGTCAGTTAAGCAAAAAGCAGAAAACTCTGGGTCACCAATAGTCCAAGAGAGCAGTGTAATGTCTTTCTTGTATCTAAAGAAAGTGCATGGCTGGGAAGACAGCAGAACTCAGGAGTGTCTGCAAAATTTTCCAAAGGATTGCATTGGTAGCAATCAAGAGATAAGCACAAAGGTCTTATCCTCTGGTCATTCAGAGTTTGGAAGAAAAAAGGATTCCTCTACCCCAGTACCAATACAGCCCATGTTTAAATACTGAGGTCTTTCTGATTCTCTGTTCCTTCAGGTTTGAGTTAAAATAAATTTCCTTGCCAAAATCCTATTCATGCTCTCAGAGCTAAAAGAAATAAAATGTGACAGATCTTCAATAAAATCTTACAGATCAGATTTTAGACTTAAAATGAACTTTTGGAGGATCTTCTTAAAAATCAAATAAAAATTTTAAAAAGTATATTATCCTTAAATAAAAAAATGGTACTCTCTCAAAAGATGGGAGTTATAATAATAGAAATATTAGAAGAATTAAAATTATAAAATGTATGAAGTAATTGGTCTCTTCAGAGGAAAATCCTCCATTAATATCAAGTTGTATCTCCTGAGTACTAATTCTCTATTGAATTGCACAGTGCAACCTGATCCACCCATTGGCCTCAACTGGACTTTATTGAACATCAGTTTAACTGGGATTCATGCTGATATCCAAGTAAGATGGGAACCACCACCCAATGCAGATGTTCAGAAGGGATGGATAGTTCTGGAATATGAACTTCAATACAAAGAAGTAAATGAAACTCAGTGGAAGACGGTAAGATTTTACTCCCTCTTACACTTTGACTTTTCTTCTTGCTGTTATAACAATCCATCTCTCATTTACAATTAGACTTCCTTTTGACCTACTCCATATACCCATGCTATGTGCCCCATAATTCCTTACTGGAGAAAAATTGATCTGTTCTATAAAATATCATCATGGAATTTCCCTAGTTGCCTTGTTGTTCAGTGTAATAGTGCAGCAAAATAGCAAACTCTAACCACTCAGCTGTCTTTGGAGATGTGACTAACCATGAGAAAGATTATGATCAAGGTCAACAGAGGGCTATGGCCAAATACTTACCATGATTCAAATTGCTGCTACACACAAGACCCCATTTAAATCAGTTAAGTGTCTCCAGAAGAGAAGCAGAGGAAGGAATCTGTTCCTTAGAGGTGTCAGAAAGGTGTTTTATTCCATATCTCAGAGGAGAATCAAGCTAAGAGGTTCTTACATGGGCTAGTGGAGAGCAGGTTAGCCTTGAAGCCCTTACTTCCTTTGCCAAGTCTATGAGAACCCACCTGGCACACAACAAAAAGAAAAATAGGACTATCATGCTGCTCCCAATATAACAAATTCTAAATCAGTCTAACCACAGGTTCGGCCAAGTCAAGCAGTTTCTGGCCAGACTTCAGGTTGTACCCAGCAGCCTGGCAGAGCTCATTCTGTGCATTCAGTGAACCATGGAAAAAGGAGCCTTTACTTTATCAGTAAAGGAAGTTAGTTTTGAGCAGCTTATAAAGTTGAAACCGTTACAAAACTGGGCTTTGAGGTTCTGTTTTCTGAATCATTTTGATTTGGATATCTGATCTATAACTTGGTGCAAAAAAAAAAAAACCTGGTTGGATGCTAACTCAAACAAGACTTTCCAAATTCAAGTTATAATTATTTATTGAGCAACAAGGTATAAAAATAAATAATTTGCACACAGCACTGTGCTAGGTGCCTGGAGCAACAGTTCTTAAAATGTGAACTATGGACCTCTAAGGGCCCCCAGATGCACTCAGGGAGTCCACAGGTATTCTATTTTTACAATATACTAAGATATCCTCTACTTTTCACTATTTGACTCATGGTACAGAAACAATGGTGGGAAAACTACTGGCACCTGAGCAGGAGTCAAGGCCCAGTACCAGACTTTCCAAAAGTCACTCTGTTCCTCCCCACCATGAGCTCACCAGAAAGGGGAGGAAAAACAGTTTCACATAAGATTGTGCTTGAAATCCCAACGTTTGAGTGTATAGCTTTTTAACACTCTATGTGGCACACGTAAAGGACACATGACACACTTCTGCTGCATTCCAAGGCACTAGTGAGGTGGAGTGCAAAAGCAGTCCAGCGACTTGAGTTGTCAGCTGAGAGAGCTACTTGTTTGCCTGGAACTCCAGTTTTACTTGAAGAACAACTGGTCGATGATTCCTCATATCTGCATTGTCAGTCATTTCTTAAGAAAAAAAAAAAAGAAGGAAAAAATTGTCACTTCAAGAAAAAAAAAAAACTGAGCATTGGTACCAATGACAAAATCTGAACTTTCACGAGAAAATCAAAATTTGGGAAAACTTCTATCTGCAGCCATGAGCTTAGTAACTTTCCAATGTATGAAGATTTTCCCAGTAATATCCATGGTGATATTACCAATGTGATGTCTTCATGTTATATTGTAGAATGTGTGAAATTTTAAAAAAATTCGCATAACTCAGTGTTTTCCAAATGACTAATACTAGAGGGAATGGTGATTTTTGTTTAATAAAAATTGTATAGATCATCACGTACATTATGTTTTGAAATTTGTGTACATGGTATAATGACTCAATTGAGCTAATCAATATATGCATTATCTCATATCATTTCTTGAACTGAAAACACTTAAATTCTTCTCTCTTAGTAACTTTCAAAATGTAACACATAGCTTTTAAATAGATTCTCTCTATTGTACAATTAATCTCTTAAACATATTCCTCCTAACTGAAATTTTATATCATTTCACCAGTATCACACCAAGTCTCCAAACTCCATTCCTCCAGTCCCTGGTAACTGTCATTCTACTCCTTACTTATGAGTTCACCTTTCTTGATTCCACATAAAAGATCATGTGACTTTTGTCCTTTCATACCTGGCTTATTTCACTTAATGTCTTCTAGATTCATTTGTGTTGTAGCAAATGATAGAATTCCTTTTTTTTTTTTTAGGCTGATACTATTCCATTATGTATATACCTCATTTCCTTTGCCCATTTATCCATTGATGGACTCTTAGGTTGATCTCTATTTTATTTTTTATCTCTATTTTGACTATTGTGAATAATGCTACCATTAACATGAAAGTGAAAACATACCTTGACATATTGACTTCATTTTTTTTGGCTATAAACTCAAGAATAGAATTGCTAAATGAAGTGCTAATTTTATTTTTAATTTTCTGATGAAATGCTACATATTTTTTAAATGCTTTTTCTACATCTATTGAAATGATCATATTGCTTTGATTCTGCTAATGTGGTATAAAACATGTATAGATTTTTTTCAGGTCAAACCATTCTTGCTGGAATAAGTCCTTTAATCATGGTGAATGATCCTTTTAATGTATGTTGAATTGGGTTTGATAGTATTTTGTTTGCAGAGGTGTTGCATCTATGTTCATCATGGATACTGTCCAATAATTTTCTTTTTCTGTAGTATCATTGTCTAGCTTGGTATCAGGGTAATCCTGACCTCATAAAATGGGGTTAAAATAATAAGCATATACATTTTCAATTTTTGGAAGAGTTTGAGAAGGGTTGGTATTGGTTCTTCTGTAAATGTTTTGTAGCATCTACCCATGAAGCCTCAAGGTCCTAACTTTTCTTCGATGGGAAACATTACTGACTCACTCTCCTTGCATAGTTTTCTGTTCAGATTTTCTATTTCTTCATAATTCAGTCTTGGTATGTTGCATGTATCCAGAAATTTACCCTTTTCTTCTAGAGTATTCAATTTGTGGAAAATAATTTCATAGCAGTCTCTTTAGATCTTTGTATTTCTTTGGTATCAGTTATAATGTCTCTTACTTCTGATTTCATTTATCTAAATCTTATTTTTTCCTTAGTCTAGTTAAAAGTTTGTAGAATTTGTTTGGCTTTTCAAAAATACCGTTCTTGTTTTGTTGATGTTTTCCATTGTTTTTCAGTGGTCTCTATTTCATTTATTTATTTTCCAATACTTATCATTGTCTTCCTTCTGCTAACTTTGGGATTAGTTTGTTCTTTTTCTAGTTCTTAAGGGTATAACATTAGGTGTTTGTTTAAGATATTTGAAAGATAATGAATTTTTTCAGGAAGTTGCAGTGTAGTGTAGAAACATATGTGTAACTGATTTTAGCAGTGAAATACACTTCTTTTTTTGTAACAGAAGTGTATTATCTGTCAGACGAGGGTGCCAAGAAAGACTTAGAACGTGAGCAATCCACAATACTCCCACAGAGGATTGATGCACCCACACAGGCCAGTGGCACGTACTGAAGGAGGCATATGAGAAAATTTGAGTTTGGTGTTGCTGGTGTAGAATGCTGAAGGAAGATAGAGAAGGGGGTCACAAGTCAAATTACTGAGGGCCCCTTTTTAGTTCTGTTGTTAGAGAAATCTATAAATAGTTTTGGTATTGATAACAGAAAATTTAGGGCTCCAAGAATGAAAACATAAACTTTTAAAAATATTTTAAGAGGGCTGGGATTGTGTCTCAGTAGTAAAATACTCGCCTAGCATGTGTGAGGCACTGGATTCGATCCTGAGCACCACATTAAATAAATAAACAAATAAATAAAATAAGGGTATTGTGTCCAGCTAAAAATAAAAAATATATTTTAAAAAAATTAGGTCTTTCTGCATTTTTTAAATTTATATATGACAGCAGAATATATTACAATTCTTATTACATATATAGAGCTCAACTTTTTGTATCTCTGGTTGTATACACAGTATATTTACACCAATTTGTGTCTTCATACACGTACTTTGGATAATAATATCCATCACATTCCACCATCATTAATAACCCCATGCCCCCTCCCGTCCTCTCCAACCCCTCTGCCTTATCTAGAGTTTATCTATTCCTCCCATGCTCCCACTCCCTATCCCACTATGAATCAGCCTCCTTATATCAATGAAAATATTTGGCATTTGGTTTTTTGAGATTGGCTAACTTTACTTAGCATTATCTTCTCTAACTCCATCTATTTACCTGCAAATGCCATGATTTTATTCTCTTTTATTGCTGAGTAATATTCCATTGTGTATATATGCCACATTTTTAAAATTCATTCACCTATTGAAGGGCATCTAGGTTGGTTCCAGTTTAGCTATTGTGAATTGTGCTTCTATAAACATTGATGTGGCTATGTCCCTGTAGTATGTTGATTTTAAGTCCTTTGGGGATAGACCAAGGAGGGGGATAGCTGGGTCAAATGGTGATTCTATTCCCGGTTTTCCAAGAAATCTCCATACTTCTTTTCATATTGGTTGCACCAGTTTGCAGTCCTACCAGCCGTGTATGATGTACCTTTCCCCCCACATCCTCGCCAACACTTATTGTTGTTTCTATGCTTAATAGCTACCATTCTGACTGGAGTGAGATGAAATCTTAGAGTGGTTTTAATTTGCATTTCTCTAATTGCTAGTGATGATGAACATTTTTTGATGTATTTGTTGATTGCTTGCACATCAACTTCTGAGAAGTGTCTCTTCAGGTCCTTGGCCACATTAAATAAATAAATAAATAAATAAAGGTGTTGTGTCCATCTAGAACTAAAAAATATATTTTTAAAAAATATTTTAAGAAAGAAACTAAGTAAGTTTAATATTCAGAATCCTGCTTCAAAGAATGTATTTAGGCAGAGAATGTAAATATTGCATATATTCAGAGGCTCCTGTAAAAGATACAAACGAACCATGTCATGAAGAAGTATTTTGTGAGTAGAAACCAACCAGGGTGAAAGAAAAAATTGTTACAGATGCTGAAGGCCTGGCTTATGACTTAATGAAACCAATTATGAGGATTTTATTTAGGTAAAAATCCATGCTGTTGAAAAAGTGAGTGTTCCAAGTTTACTATAAACAAGAACAAGGTGTTCTACCCAAAAATACATGAAAAGCACATTGAGTACTGGCTCTGAGTATTTGGCTTGGAGGAAAATGTCCTTGCTATTGGGTTTACCTCTTTGATAGCAATATGTCTTAAAAGTCTAGCTGTCTCACTCTACCCTTCTCTGGGGAAGTGAAGGGATATCCTGACTAAGGGTGTGAGACATGCTAATTGCCAAAGAACTCCCATGGCTTTTTTTTTTTTTGAAGATTTTGAATAGCAAACTATTTTGAGGTATGTTTTTAAGCCTCTGGAACAAGTAGATTAAAGTGTTTAGTAGCTTCTAATACAATTATTTGAAAGTTAAACAAAGACAACTATGATATTTCCAGGATGCTTTCCACTATTACAATAACGAATACATTACTACCCAGAATTTCCAAAGAACACAGATAATTTGTTTTGGCGTGGAAATGTGTTTGTTTTTTTCTGTTCTAATGTCTTCCTCCATACAAAACTGAAATGTCCTAGATAAGTACACAATATTTCTGTAATCTTTTAATCTTCTTTATAGTTCCTCCATTCCCCATAAGAATCTCTTTGCTTTAATCTTAGCAGAATATCTGACAGCCTAATGTAAAGATATAACTGCATCTCTTTAAGCAAATCCATCACATATGTAGGTTTAAACCAAATAAATTTAAAGACTATTAACTTTTAAACAAGAATTATTTTTTACATAATTTGTTTCAATCTTCTTTTCAGTAGCAAACTCCCTCTGGACACTTTAAAATATTACTGACTTTATAGAAATCCATTTTTAATACAAGTGGGAGAACACCCAAAGTGTATACTACATTGAGTTGTTGACTCTCTAGCCAATAAGCTTTATATATTTTGTCTTGAAAGATGGACCCAATATTGTCAACATCAGTTCCTGTATACTCCTTGAGACTGGATAAAGAATATGAAGTGCGTGTGAGATCCAGACAACGAAATTCAGAGAAATATGGCGAGTTCAGTGAGGTGCTCTTTGTAACACTTCCTCAAATGAGCCCATACGCATGTGAAGAAGGTAAAAAAAAAAAAAATTAAAATAGCAGTCAAAATGTCTTTTTGCAGTAATAGCAATTGATATGTGCCTGTTAGCAAGTTGTATGCACTAACACTAAATATCAGTGTGAGACCTTGAGCTCACTATCTATGACAGGTATTATGTGTTGTAAAAGCAGAAAGAGTTAGTTTTCAAATTAGTTCATTCAGGAAAGGTCCTGGCGCAGGTGGACATTTAGAAAGGAGTATACAGTGGTTTTCTCTGGATAGTGAAATTTCAGACATTTTTTTCCTTTACATAATTTCTGTATTTCTAAAATTTTCTACAATGAGTTTGTTTTTAATATATAATCAAAAAAATCTTTTACTAATGCAGGGGGCAGGAAGTCATCCCAGTCTATATGTATGAATGAATTTATGACACCTAAGAGAAAGCCTTCTATTGCAGGTGCTCACTGGCTTTAGAGAAACCTTAATCTAGAGGAAAGCTGAGAAGTTGTGTATTAAGCCCAGTATGGTGGTGCACGCCTATAATCCTAGTGGCTTGGGTGGCTGAGGCGGGAGGATCACGAGTTCAAAGCCAGCCTCAGCAAAGGCAAGGCACTAAACAACTCAGTGATACCTTGTTCCTAAATAAAATACAAGATAGGATTAGGGATGTGGCTCAGTGGCTGAGTACCCCTGAGTTCAATCCCCATTGTTCCCCCTGCAAAAAAAAAAAAAAAGAAGTGTTGTGTTATTTGGCTCAGAGGAGACACGAAACATTTGAAGATCTTATATAGAAGAACCATAAAGATAGTTAAAGTTACCTTTATCTAAAGAAATAGGGAAGGCTGGTGTATAGTGAGCAGTAAGTGTATAGTATTGTCACTCTCAAATGGGAATTAGCTATAGCCCTTCCACACTGAAACAGAAGATTTATAGGGACTTAGGAGGAATTGAAGTTTGTTAATGAAATAAGCTACAGAGAAACTAAGTTTATATTTTTGCATAACTGAATAGGTATAATAATCTCACTAAACAAGACTAATAAAAACTTTTATAGCATCATTTTTTTTCTGGTTAACTGGTTACTTGTTTTAAACAATATGAGATAAAATGCAACTGTGATTTAAGCACTTTTTAAGCTTAATATGGTGGCATTTTCAAAAGCTTCACTTTTCCTTCCATATTTAAAAAAATGAATCTCTGGTTCTAATGCTTCTAAATATGTTATTGATAAAAATGACAGACATTACAAGTACTAAAATGGTGTTTGCTTCCCTACTAATTCTTAAAAACATTTATAATACCTGTCTAGGAGATTTTAATAACTTATTAAATAAGAAAAGCATATTAAAGTATAAGGGCAGATATTTAGAAAAGCAACATTAAGGTAAATTCCACTTGCCTTTTATTAGGGTGTTTAGCCTCTGCCATTGTAGTGAGAATATTGGCAGCCAACTTTAAGGTTACTGAGAGAGGCACTTAGTCCTAAGGAATGAAATATATGCCCCCAAGTTTCATTCAAAATATACTAAACTCTGAAAACAGGAACCTCAGTGGGACATACACACACAAACACACACACACACACACACACACACACACACACACACACTTTTTTACAGCTGTAAAACATAACTTTCACATGTGTAAGAAATTTCTGTCATGATTCATTAATAAAAACTCTGCCCTGATATTTTTGATATATCCTCAATTTGGAAGCTAAAAACTATCATCACATTTATATAAATAAATAAATAAATAAAGTGATCATCATTTACTTAAGCTTAACAATCAACAGTTTTTTCCCCTAGCACCAAAGCCTTTATTGACAATCTTCTTTTTTAATTTGTCCTAATTAGTTATACATGACAGCAGAATGCATTTCGATTCATTGTACACAAATGGAGCACAACTTTTCTTTTCTCTGGTTGTACACGATGTAGAGTTGCACCCTATATACAGTCATACATGTACCTAGGGTAGTGAGGTTCATCTCAGTCTAACATCTTTCCTGCCCCTGTGCCCCCTCCCCTTTTCTCCTTCCCCTTTGCTCAATCAAAGTTCCTCCATTCTTCTCACACCCACCCCAATATGGATCAGCATCCACTTATCAGAGAGAACATTCAGCCTTTGGTTTTTTGGGTTTGGCTTACTTCACTTAGCATAATATTTTCCAACTCCATCCATTTATCTGCAAATGCCATAATTTTATTCTCTTGTAATGCTGTGAGAGATTCTATTTTGTATATGTACCACAGTTTCTTTATCCATTCATCTACTGAAGGGCATCTAGTTTGGTTCTACAGTTTAGCTATTATGAATTAAGATGCTATGAACATTGATGTGGCTGTTATTGACACTCTTTGGACACATAAGATGCTTAAAGCAGTTTGGTTTACTCTGAAATCATGCATTATGTTTGAACTGCATGCTTTTTATTTTGAAGATTTTTTTTTAAGTGAAAGGATTTGAATAGTGGACAGAGGTGTTCTTAGAACAGGAAAAAAATCCTAATTTATCCCACTCTGCTTCTGTAGTTGTCAAGTAAGATGATTGACTTCACTAGAAAAATTCAAGTTAGCAAATACTTTTATATAAGAAAGTGAAATGTAAACTTGCTTCAACTATTCATACATGTGTGAGTAAAATATTCCCATGTGTTTCAGATTTCCGGTTTCCATGGTTTTTAATTATTATCTTTGGAATATTTGGACTAACAGTGATGCTATTTGTAGTCATATTTTCTAAACAGCAAAGGTAGGTGTGATACAGTATTCTCTGGTATGTTTTTGCAAGTTGTTTAGATTTCCATGCATTTCTGTGTTTTATTTGATATTTTCTCTTGCATATTGAGTATAAATTTTATGTAACACAGTATACCTTTATGTCCAGTTACATGTTTACTATTTCTAAAAACTCAATTTGTTGGGTTCATCTTTGAGAAAATACAGGTTTAGACTCTATCTATGAAGTTGTGTAGGACATTAAGAGCTTAGACTAATGATACCACACACCATGTAATAGGCACCTCTTCCCTTCAGTGCTTAAAGGGTTGACCCATTCACTCCAGGACTCCAGAGCATCATCACAGAGCCTTTGGCTGAGGCTGACGCAGTCCTCAGTATAGGCAAACTGAAATGGCAAACTAAAGCCACATAGACAATGTAATCTAATAAAAACATCCTTAAGAGTTCATATGATGTGATTTTAAGTAAATCTGGGTCTCGTTTAAATGATTTGGATAGTTATAACTTTGTATTTCACCTGCATTTGCAAATACAACTGAAATGCTAAGTTTGAAGCAATTCTATTTTGCATTTTCTGGGATCCAAAAGATTGGGTTCCAGTGTCTCAGTGACTGTTGTTTGATCCTGTTTGACTCCCTTAACCTTTCTGGGCTTCCACAATGTCATAGGTAATATGAGTGCTGGTTTATATGCTCTTTAAATTTGCCTTGAGCCCTGAGATGTTATCATTCTGTTTTTCTTCCTGAAAAATAAATAAATAAATAAATAAATATTTTTAAAATTCAGTCCACACTATAGGAAATTATTTTGTACAAAATGTAGAAAAAACAATGGCTATAGATTGCTAGTTTCTTCCATTTAAGGAATTTTAAGAGCCTCATGGGTTAATATGGGGAAAATAAATACATTTTTTTAGAATTTTAAGTAATATATGCATTTAAGTAATGCTAAAAACAAGAATCAAATTATTCTTTAAGTTTTTTGGTCTGTACAATTGGTGGGATAATTTATATGTGACTGTCATAAATTATATGTTTGCAAAGTAATTTGTTTTAACACTGGCAATCAATTTCAAAACATTGTGAAGGCCAAGAAAATTTGTTATATTGTTTAGTTATATCAGCTACAATGTTTGGAACAATAAAATAATCCTCTCAACAAATAGGATTTCAAAGAAATTATGTTAACTTTTGACTAAAAAAAAGCATTTTCTGTGAATAACAAAGAATTAATCTATGACACTTGTTCAAAATCACCAAATTGTAAAATAGATATGGAGTCTTTATTGTACTTCCAATTTCCTATCTAAATTGAATTCTTTACATAAAAAAAACAATTTTTTTCTTTTCCATTGAAACATTTATCATTTTCTAAATTTGCATATTCTAATGCAAGTAGGAAATTTGTACAAAATAGTTGTCAGCAGATGTGGAAATAACACATATTCCCAACAATTAATAAGATGCTCCACAGAATGAGGTGCTGAAGTCAGTCTTTCCTAGAACTCCAAGCTATCAAGTTTTTCAGGTCCCACATGTCTTTAAAGATTTGTGTATCCTAATTCATTATTGAAGCTACTTTAATCCAGAAAACTGTCGATTCTACAAAAAAAAATATAATGTGATTCATATTTGAATAAATGATAGCACCCTCACAAACATAGTTTAAAGCCAGGTTATCTTTACTCCCTACTAGCTTCTACCATATGACCCACCCAGCCTTGAAGCTATTATTAATTAAAGGAATAAATAATTAAATCCACATGAAACAGATGTAGGAAAGTGAAAGCCAAGTTCAAGCTGCAGATCCACGTTTTTTTAAATTAATTAATTAATTTATTTATTTATTTTGAATAGGCTTCTACTACAAAGCAGACACAAAATAGAGAATTTTCACACCAAAAAATCCAGATTTCTGGATTGTCTTTAAAGCTTGACTGATGTAGTGGAACTAAGCTGATCTTTCTACATGGCACATATATGGAAGCAGAGAGCCAGCTGTGCCCTTTGGGAAGGGCATACACTCTCCAGTTTGCCACAAAGCATCTTTTCTTCTCACAGCATTGTGACTGGCCTGCTTCATTTAATGACATGACCAACTTGGGCCCTTGAGATTTCAGGGCCAGCCACTGTGTCAGAAAGTAGCTACAACCATCGAATACAACTAACACAAGTAGAAACACATCATGCTCTTCATAAAGGAGAGGCTCACCTCACAAAATCAACATTAGCCATTTGGGATTCTTTGCTTTCTGTAATTAGGGATATGTTGCATTTTTTAATGTTTGTAAAAATTTGAAACGTGCATTTAGAAATGCCAAATTTAATCATGCAGCAGTGTGACAGAAGGCAAAAGAGCCTCAGTTTGGAGTCAGGTAACTTGGGTTTGAACCTCAGTCATGCCTAGTATTAGTGCATGATTTGAGACTGTTCCTTAATTTTTCAAATCTTTGTGTGAATACTATCATTGACCTCCCTGATAGTTATAAGGTTTAAATAAAATGTTTAGTTCATGATCAAACATTTGTTTTAAAGAGAATTAGTAAAATTTTAGGCTTCAGGTGCCATATGTCTTTGTCACAACAACTCATTTCCACTTCTGTAGCATGACAACAGCCAGAGACAATATGTAACTGAATGAATGTGGCTGTGTTCTACAAAATCAAGTGGTAGTTCAAATTTGGCCCAAAGTCTATAATTTGTACTAAACTCTAATGCAAAGTATATCTCACACTGTCTAGTTTATCAGAGAAGCTCAAAATGAGAGAAATTATTATTAGTAATTTATGTTATTCATTTCTATATCTGCTATTCATCAGTAATAATTTGTTTTAACATTTACTCCACTGAGTAAGCATAGTGGAGAAATCACATAGCAACTTATACAGTGGAATTTGGTTTATTCTTTAGATTAGATATAATGGCAGGTGGAAATATTGAAAGGAAGTGTTCCTTATTGAATAGATTGCATAGTCCATTCACACTCAGTGTACTAGCAACTAACTGATATCCAAACTCCAGGTTACTGTCCCTGCCTAACAATGGCATTTCTCACTACATAGGAGGTGTTTTTGTTTTGTTTTGTTTTGTTTTGAACTATAAAACAAGTTGGTTGAAATGAATAATCCCTGAGCTTCTTTCCAGAGCTACAATGTTGGTTTTAAGATTCAAGCTCTAGTTACACTGTCAACAAAATACATGGTTTGTTCCAATTTATTTGGCAAATGTTCGTTGAGCACTTCCATGTGCCAGGAATTGTGCTAAGTGCTAGGGATTCAGCAAGGCACAAGACAGGCAAGACAGACATGGAAATGAATCAGAGTCAAAAATAATTTAAATATTTGGAACAGAAGATATAAATAAGTACAATTACAGTATTATGTATGAAAGTCCATCAAAACAGAAGAAAGAGCAGTGGGGGAGATGAAGGGGATTGAAGGGGAGAAAGGAGGGAATGGGATAAGGAAAGAACAATGGAATGAATCTGACCGAGCTTTTGTTAGGTACATACATGAATATACCAAACTGAATCTCAACATCAAGTACCTCCACAAGACACTAATTAAAATAAAACAAAACAAAACAAAACTATAAGTAAATTGCAGAACAACCAGTAGAGTAGAGGGAGGGAGGAGAAGGGGAGGAGATAAGTGCTGGGGACTGAATTAGAGCAAATTATATTCCATGCTTTTGTGATTATGTCAAAATGAATCCTAATGTTATATATAACTAAAAAGAATCAAATAACCAAAGTCCAAACTGTAAAAAAAAAAAAAAATCCATTCTCAAAAGTTGGAGCTAGTTCATATTTAGCCTGCTCTACCTGAAATGGCCCTTGTAATAACTGTCTGGTTAAAAATCATCTTAGATGACTTTATGATTAATGTCAACTGTGTGGTGTTACCTTGTCTCGCATCACCCTTTTTCAAGGGCACAAATAATGTTGGCTGGCTCTACATAGATTGGTTCTTTTTCCTTTATTCATTTTTTTTTCTACAAATTACTGAGGAGATGTACAATAAAATTGCTTTCCTTGTAACAGACATGGACATTGGCTTCAGGTAGAAATAAATTTCTCTCTCCCAAATGCTAAAGTGGGATGGCCATAAAAAGCATTAAGAAAAAAAAATGAAATTACAGACAAACCACATTTTATTTGAGTAGACTTCAGAAGAGGACTTTTTTGTTATTATTGTTTTTCTTTCTTACACTTTTTGCAGTTTTTCTTTATCATTTACTGCTTTATATTTTTCTTCCCTTTCTCAGCTTCCACTTATATAGAATGTCAAAATTCTTGAAATAAGTAATATTCTGCCAATATTTTATTTGTTTTGAAATAAGAGAAATGTGTAACTTTTAAGATCTGTCAAATGAAAATTCTGTTTGTTTTCAAGGATTAAGATGCTGATTTTGCCCCCAGTACCAGTTCCAAAGATTAAAGGAATTGATCCAGACCTCCTCAAGGTAATTAATAAATCCGTCTAAACTGTAGATTGTGATTGCACTGACTAATACCTGAAGAACATTGCCACATGTTGAGAGCTTTCTGCAAGCTCTGTGTATTGGATTTAAATGATTTCGTCATTATGAGTTTCTTTTCATTAATCTTCATTTTCTTTCTGCTTCATAGGAAGGAAAATTAGAGGAGGTGAACACAATCTTAGCCATTCATGATAACTATAAACCTGAATTCTACAATGATGACTCTTGGGTTGAATTTATTGAACTCGATATTGATGATCCTGATGAAAAGACTGAAGGATCAGACACAGACAGACTTCTAAGCAACGACCATCAGAAATCACTAAATGTCCTTGGGGCCAAGGACGACGACTCGGGCCGAACCAGTTGTTATGAACCCGACATTCTGGAGACGGATTTCAATGCCAATGACTTAGGGGATGGTACCTCAGAGGTGGCTCAGCCACAAAGGTTAAAAGGGGAAGCCGATCTCTTGTGCCTTGACCATAAGAATCAAAATGAGTCACCTTATCATGATGCTTCCCCTGCCATTCAACAACCCAGCATCATCCTGGCAGAGGAAGAGGACAAACCACAACCACTTCTCATTGGTGAAACTGAGTCAGCTCACCAAGTTGCCCCTACTCAGATAAGCAATCCGAATTCACTGGCAAACATTGACTTTTATGCCCAGGTGAGTGACATTACACCAGCAGGGAGTGTGGTCCTTTCCCCGGGCCAAAAGAATAAGGCTGGGATAGCCCAGTGCGACACGCATCTAGAAATGGCCTCACTGTGCCAAGCGAACTTCATCATGGACAATGCCTACTTCTGTGAGGCAGATGCCAAAAAGTGCATCGCTGTGGCCCCTCATGTGGAGGGCGAGTCACATGCAGAGCCAAGCTTTAACCAGGAGGATATTTACATCACCACAGAAAGCCTTACCACTACTGCTGGGAGGTCTGGGACAGCAGAACATGCCCCAGGTTCTGAGTTGCCCGTCCCAGACTATACCTCGATTCATATAGTACAGTCTCCACAGGGCCTTGTCCTCAATGCGACTGCCTTGCCCTTGCGGGACAAAGAGTTTCTCTCATCGTGTGGCTACGTCAGCACTGACCACCTGAACAAAATCATGCCGTAGCCTTACTTTGATTTCCCAAGAATAACATAGTGAATTGCCAAGAATTGGCTGGGGCATGAATGCTGAAACCAAAACAATCTTTAAACATTTGGGGGGAGACTGTGAGGGTGGGTATGGATTCAAATGCCTTTTCCTGAAATGTGGAAATGTTATTAAAAGGTAAAAAAAAACAAGAACATTTAATCAGAGAGATATTCCCGTTGTGAATTGTAAATATTTTAAAGAATTGTCTCAAAAGACTCTTCAATAGCAGTGATTGTCTTATTATTGTGGGTGTTAATTTTGTGATACTAAGCATCGGATGGCTACGTTTTTAATGTATAGTAAATTGTGCTTTTTGAAAAAGCAAAAACAATCAGGTGGCTTTTGCAGTTCAGGAAATCAAATGCAAATCATAGCACAGGCTAATTTTTTTTTCTTTTTTTAATAATTGGGAAGTAAAAATCTAGGTAAGAAAGCAAAAGTAGTTTGGATATGTAAAACATTTATTTTGACATAAAATTGATAAAGATATTTTTAATAATTTAAACTTCAAGCATGGCTATTTTATAATACACTGCACACTGTGTACTGTAGTTCTCAATGACCCCATCTAAGGAATGTAGTAACTACAGTCTAAAGCTGGTTTAATGCTTCAGTCAATACACCTGAAGAAAAACAGACAAGCTAGTTTTTTATAAGTCCCTTTTTTATACCTCCCCAAAGTTCTTAAGTAATTCTAAGATCTCTAATAACCTGCATTATTGGAATATACTCATTTTATCTGAATTTTTAAACAGATATTTTTAAGTTAGAAAACTTTTAAATGTTTACATGGATCAATGCACCATAAACCAAAAAACAGGAAGGAGAAAAAATACAAAAACAAACAAAAAACCCTTCTTTACCAAATTTCAGTGCAAGCCAGAGAGCTAATGCTAAGACAAGCAGAAGTTACAGCTGGCTCCCCTGGTCCAGGCTGCTGACGTGCGGAAGTGCACGTGGTATGAATTTTTTTTAGCACACAGATCATGAGAAATAAGCTCCAAAACCTGCAATGGTATCTTTTCAAACACAGCTTGGTTTCATTTCATAGTTACCTAAAAGAAGAATAAAGTATAAGCAGCATTTTGTAAGTAGAAGCAGATCAAATGAAGTTAACTGAACAATGGAACAGAAAGCTTAAGAAATAGGTTTTTGTTCCATAGTCTATAGCTGAGGACACATTCATTATTTGTGGTAACAAGGGACAGATGGTAAGCAAGCCAAAAGAGAACTCAAAATTAATCAAACCAGTAGAAGAAGCTTTCTCACCAAGCCTAATAGGATTTACTTAAAACTGTAAAATAAATTTCATCATTTTTTATTTCCCCTTTGAGAGGATTGGCCTCCAACCAGGTAGTCAGAAGAAAATGAAGGAGCCTAAGTAATTCTTATCAATTATTTTCCAATTCTTTAACAACCTAAACATTATCCTTTGGAATAGCTCCCCTAAAGGTTTATGAAAGAGAAGAATCTCATCTCACGGAATATGTCTCACTTTAAGTATTTTTTTAAAAACACTTTAAACTTTAAAATTAGTTCTATTTGCCATTTAGCGCAAGACCTTTTGGGGAAGCAAGCTTAATGGCTGGCGGTTCCCTCTTTCTTACGGAAAAGACAGTGAAAAATCTAGAATTGGGTGTTTAAAGTTCAACATGTTACTTCGTGATAGATGTTTAATAGATTCTCTGCTACCTTGCTGCTATGGTTTTCTCTAAAAGCTACAAAATTTAGTTTCATATAAAACATCATCAATGTAGAGCCTAATTCAACTTAAAGCTGTGTTTTTGGAAGAATTATATTACTATTTCACAATAGGCTGACCACATTTCTATAGCCAAAAATAGCTAAATACCTCAATCAGTCTCAGAATGTCATTTTGGTACTTTGCTGGCCACACAAGCCATTATTCACTAGTATGACTAGTTGTGTCCTGCAGTCTATATTTAACTTTCTTTATGTCTGTGGATTTGTTCCTTCAAAGTTTAATAAATTTATTTTCTTGGATTCCTGAATGTGTGCTTCTATTGTCAAACCTCAACATGAAAAGATCTTAAGACATGAAAGCATCTTAGACTATATTCTGTGAGTCCTTCTCACTGTAAGGGAAACTTAGCACAATTAGTTCAAACATCGTAATGCAGTACAGTTTTTTGTTATGTTCTAAATAGAGGCTGAGGAGGCAGCTCCATATCTCTATTTTTTGAGGACACAAGAGTTCCCACTAGGAAATATGCTGCTGGCCTGTTTGAACTATGCCTTCTTTGGGCTGTACCTGTCATGGGCTATGCCTTGCACACATTATAGAAGTCAAATGGTGCATCCAAGTTGATGTGGGGTGCATGTGGGGTGGGGCGCATGTGGGGTGGAGAAGAGTGTTGCTTGGGCATTGTCTTCAAACTACATTCCTAGGTTGAGCATGGTACCTGGAAAGAGGAAAATCAGCTCTTCTTCTACTATTCACACACTGACACAAGTCAATTTGTCAGACTGGCTACTTGTCATCTTGGGGAGCAGATAATTCTTTCCCATAGCCTCCCAAACCTGGAATAGAGGCCAGTTGGGTAGGTTGTGTAGGAACTTGAGAGGGCAGGAAAGCCAGGAAGCATAGATTATGCTACAGAAGATTCCAACTGTTTATTTTAGCAAGTTGAATGCAAACTGTCACAACTTTTCATATTTGAGGGTTAAATTCACTACAGAAAATAATTTTTCCACCTACTGCCTTCTGCCCTTTGAGAGGCCATTACTTCAAAGAATTGTGGAGTAAAACCTCTGGGCTTTTTTATTTGGAAATATGTTTCAGAAATTTGTGGCCTTTATCTCACTAGAATATTGGAACTTATACTACAACCTTTACAGAACAAAACAAATAAAAGGTTATCATTATAAGCACCAGACATCTATTTCTTACATATGTTATACAAGACCCAGCCTTCTATGAACAGAGAGCACAATCCTTTCTATTTCAGAAAATTAATGGTATGTTGAAGATGGCTACACATGTGTTTATGTATTTAAACTTCTCAGTTCTACTAAGATACACCACACCAAAATGTATTCAAGTGTTATAAGATTTACATTATTTTTACACTCAAAAAATCTTTTTATATGCTTTTTCAAGGTAAGATAGCAGAAAAACTGGAAGATTCTGAAATCTGAATTCTTTACTTTAGAATCCAATATCTCACATAATTTACTCCATAACTACTTGAATATTTAAGAGCTGGATGTAAAAGGGAATTTGACCTTTGACTAGCATTTGAGCTCTGTTCCTTGGAATTTGACCTTTGACTAACATTTGAGCTCTGTTCCTTGGAATTTGACCTTTGACTAACATTTGAGCTCTGTTCCTTGGAAATCTAATAAGCATATTATATCAACTATGTTCCACAGGCAACATTGACCATGGTTAAAATGATCTCTGGTAAATTATATCTGGCTGGATAGAAAACATAAATACATGGGATAAACCATACTTCAAACCTGGGCATGGTGACTCTTAGCACTGAGCATGTGCCCTTCAGGAGCACCAGGAGTTATGCCTATGGAGTTGTAACAAAAGCTACTGGTGCCACTGAGGCATGGAGCTTCTATGCCTGGGAGACTCCATTAGCTGCCCAGTATGGGACTCCTTCCCTTACACTTGAGCTTCCACTTGGTAAAGGAGGAAAGATCATGGCTGCTGGACAGCTATGTAAACAGTTTTTGGACTGTTATATGGACAGTTGCCATGACTATGATTCTTAAGCAGGAAGTCCATTGGTACCTGCCTTACATCCTTCCTATCCTACATTTCAGAGTAGACTGGGACCAAGTGTGATCTGTGGCCATCTAGTGGATGTTGGGTTGAGCCTACCTTGGAAAGATCCCCTTACAGACTAGTAAGAGAAACTTGCTATTCATTCCTTGAACAAAGTTTATGCTTTCCCATCCCTGTATTCTTATTCAGGACTCTTCCCCCACCTGAAAAGCTCCCACGTACCAATCCTGCCTCCCGAAATTATTCTCATGCTTTGTGACCTGCTTAAATGGCTTCTTCAAAAAACATCTGATTCTTTCCAGCCTTAAATGATCATTTCTTCTTCAAAACCATTTTTAATGGCGCTTATCACACTCTGCTTATTATTCATCTAACAATCTCACAGGATAGGATCTACCAATATGTATTCTTGGGAATACCTGATCCCTAAAATGCTCTTAAATGGATGAAACTGTGCTCAATAAGTTTGGGGAAATCCTCAAATTTCATTACCTTCATTTTGATATTTTAACATTTCTAAAGTTTAAAAAATACACTCATTTTTCTGAATTCTTTTTAACAATAAAAAAAATACAGGCATACTTTGAAGAAACCACAGGTTTTGTTCCAGACCACTGCAATAAACAGAGTCACAATGATGTTTTAGTTTCCCAGTGCATACTCACGTTATTTACACTAGTAATACTGTGGTCTGTTAAGTGTGCAATGCCTTTACACCTGAAAACAATGTACACATCTAAATACTAATGGTCATCTGAGCCTTCAGAGGTTCACGATCTTTTTGTTGGTGGAGGGTGTTACCTTGATGATGATGGCTACTGACTGAGAAACTAATGTTTGAAATATGATATGTCAAGAGCCTTGTAATGATTTGAACAACCAATAAAAAAAAATAAAATAAAATAAAATAAAAAGTAAAAAAAAAAAAAGAGTGGTTTATCTGAAAGTTGGGATAAGTAACAATTTCTTTAAGTAAGACAACAGTGAAGTTTGTCACAATGACGGACTCTTTCCTTCACAAAGCATTGCTCTGTAAGACTCATTGCTGTTTGATAGCATTTTACCCAAGCAGAACTTCTTCCAAAATTAGTCAATCCGCTTAAACCCTGCATTTGCTTTATCAACTGAGTTTATGTATATTCTAGCTCCTTTGCTGACATTTAAACAATATTCACAGCATCTTCACCAGAAGTAGATGCCATTGAAAGAAAGCACTTTCTTTGCTTGTCCATAAGCAAATACTCAACCATGTAAGTTTCATCATGAGATTATAGTCATTCAGTCACATCTTCAGGCTCTGCTCCTAATTCTGTTTTCCTGCTATTTCCAGCACCTCTGTAGTGACTTCTTCCACTAATATCTTTAACCCCTTCCAAACTTCTATTAATGTTAGTTAATAACCACAAATGTTGTTGATGGCATCTAGAATGGTAAATCCTTTCCAGAAGGAATTCAGTATATTTTATCAAGATCCTCAAGAGGAATCACTATCTGTGGCAGCTATAGACTTATGAAATATATTTCTTAACTTGTAAGATTTGAAATTTGAATTACTACTTTATCCATGAGTTACAGAATGGATGTTGTATTAGCAGGCAAAAAAATTTAAATCTCATTGTACATCTCCATCAGAACTCTTGGGTGACCAGATGCATTGTCAATCAGCAATAATATTTTAAAAGGAATCTTTTTGTCTGAACATCAGTTCCCTACAGTGGGCTTAAAATATTCAATAAGTCACATTGTAAACAGATGTGCTGCTAACATTCAGGCTTTGTTGTGCTATTTAAAGAGCATAGACTGAGGAGATTTAGTATAGTTCTACAGGGCCCCTGGGCCTTCAGAATGGCAAATGATCGTCAGTGCCAACACCTTGGTCAATGATCTTAGCTGGACTTTGCAGGAAACTTGCTGCTGCCTCTCCATCAGTATCTGCTGTTTCCCTGGCACTTTTTTATTATGGAGTTGGCCTCTTAAGCCTCATGAATGACATCTGCTGACTGCAAACTTCTGTTCTGCAGCTTCCTCACCCCTCTCAGCCTTCATATCATTGAAGATAATTAGGCCCTCACTATAAATTGGGCTTTGGCTTAAGGGAATGTTATGGCTGGTTTGATCTTCCACCTACCCACACGGCTTATCAGCAATAGGCTGTTTCACTTTCTTATTTGTGTGTTCCCTGGATCAGTACTTTTAATTTCCTTCAAGAACTTTTCCTTCGCATTCACAACTTGGCTCTTGGGTGCAAAAGGGAAAGATTTCAGCTCATCTTGGCTTTCTACATGCCTTCTTCACAAAGCTTAATCATTTCTGATATTGGTTTAAAGTGAGAGACATGCCACTCTTCTTTTCACTTGAATTCGAGAGGCCATTATAGGGTTATTAATAGGCCTAATTTAAATTGTTTATCTCAGGGAAAAGGTAAACCTGGCGGGAGGGAGAGAGATGGTAAATGACCAGCCAGAATAACAGTAAGAACACTCACCACAATTATTAAGTTTGCAGTCATATGGGTGTGATTCGTGGCACCCCAAGACAATTACAATAGATCAACCACCTCAGATCACCACAGCAGATATAACAATGATGAAAAGGTTAAAAATTATGACAATTACCAAAAAATGTGACTTTGGGATGTGAAGTATTGGAAAAATAGCACTCATAGACATGATTCTTGCTGGTTGCTACAAACCTCTAATTTAAAACACACACATACATATACACACATGAGAAAAAAACATAAAATGAGTTATGTCTGTAATGGTGAAAAAATATCCATATCTAATATCTAATAACACTTAGGAAAACTGCTCTGAGAATAACAGCATGCCTTGCACAAAATAAAATTATAAATTTCAGGTAAACATGGATTTGAATGAAGCATTTTTCTGTAATGCCATTAAACTCTTACTCTATCAATAAGCGCCCCCCACCCCCCCACACACACACACAAAAAAAATGAAAGGCAAAGCCACTGTGTAATTAAAATAACCACAGATTCTTCTCAACTCAGGTGTGTTACTTTTTTCATCTATGAAATGACATTATTCTAAGGACTTGGAGGGCTTCTCTGTGACAGTGACTTCTTATCTGCTTGCCAAAATGGACTTTGAATTTCCTGCCTTTTCAGCACAAAGACTGTGGGAGAGTAATTAGGACATGGAATTTGCCAACACTACAGAACACACAGCTTTCTCCAAAATCTGAGGACTACAACACCAAGAAATGCTTATATCACTCTTAATGAAGAGG